TGTGTGTGTGTGTGTGTGTGTGTGTGTGTGTGTGTGTGTGTGTGTGTGTGTGTGTGTGTGAAGTCTAAGAAGACGAGGGTTCTCTCTCTCGTTCACCCGCCACCACTGATGCTCACGCGGCAAGCGCGGACACGTGTCGCCCCCTCACGTCTCCTCCCAACAAACCCACACCCACCATTTCCTCCCCTACTCTTCACCACACTCTTCACGGCAGAACGCCCCCAGGGGGGAACCTTATAGAATTAGGACTCGTACAGGTCAGCAGCGCTAATCCCGAGCATTACAGAAAATCCCGAAGACAGAAGGGAGCGTTATTCACGCACATTCCACGTCTCGCGGAAACAGAAAGACCAGAGAAGAACCTCATCCCGAACGCTTCTTGCCTCGGTATAGCCCCCCGTCGGAGCAGAGAACAGATCTTCATGTGCATTTTCCTTGCCTGCGTTTGGAGGTGCGTTTCTTATCCTGCACCCTAACAAACTGGAACATACATACAAAGTCAGACAGACAGCGAGAGTGAGAGAGAGAGAGTTGCTGGTACTGTTTTTTTTCAAACATAACATCCGTCCCTCTCTCTCTCTCTCTCTCTCTCTCTCTCTCTCTCTCTCTCTCTCTCTGCTCTTTCACCTCCCCCCTCCACCTCCCCCCACCCCCGGTTGCATTGAATGCCGAGACCGGCTCCTTGACTCGTTGAGACGGTGTGTTTCGGGCAAAAGCACGTCCTTCAATAATACATCCTGAAGGCGAGCCAAGAAGAACAGTAAGAAGAAGAAGAAGAAGAAGAAGGGAAAAAAAAAAAAAGAGAGGAGGCGGGTTAGGAAGGCGAAGACTTGGAGAGCTATTTGCATTCTCTTCGCAATCTGACTGACTGGAGTGATGATAGGGTCGCGACTTGTGTCTGGGTCCCGACTGGTGTCTGGGTCCCGACAGTAGAAAAACAGCACCAGATTTATCACCCAAGAGAAGCAGGAGCATGGATCGCACGCGAAAAATCGTGCAACCACCCAAACAGCAAAGAAAAGGGTTAAAAAAAAAAAAAAAAAAAAAAAGGATGAAGAAGAGCGGGAGGCAGCGTACACTCTTTTCCTCACATCAGCTTGAAGTTTCTTAATTGCTTTTTTTTTTTTTTTTTTTTTTTTTTTTGGTTTAGGGTTTACCCATTCGTGCGGAAAGAGTCAAGGCCTCGCTGGACGGTCGAGAACACGAAAAAAAAAACGATTCTGTTTCGTGAACGCACCGCCGCATAGCACCCACGCACGATTCCGTACCCACGCACGATTCCGTTTCGTGAACGCACCGCCGCATAGCACCCACTCTATTGTGGTCAGAACGAACTCTCGAATGCTGTCAGATTCTCCGTTCACGAGGTTGTGCCAGTTCACAGGGGATGACCATCCCCGCCTGGAACTCGCGCGAAGTCACAGGTCCTCCGCAGGGCCGGTGATGGAGCTGTGAATCCACGCGAACACTCCATGTCTGTCCAACCGGAGGCCGACCAATTTTTTGGACCATGGCACATGTCGGGGCTCATACAGCGCACCGAGAAGCTGCACGGAAGTCGCCAGGCCGAAGCCGCGAGTATGTTGGCGTGCGCTGTGCGGCAGTGAGGCTAAGAACGAGACGAAGTGGCAATCTCCAGGATCGTGAGGCCTCACAGGTTGCCCCTCATTTCGTTTCGTTTTTCCCACCATCCGGCGAGGCCCATAGGGGCTCGGTGCACCACGCACCAGCAGAAACAAATCGTGAGGACGAATTTTCCGCTAGAAAATGGACAGACACACCAGCGATGCTATTGTTTTTTCTCTGACATTTTGAGACCCTTACACTAGGCCTTCCTTAAATCCAGCGACAATATTCCGCTAGCCATAGCTCTGTCCCCATCGTCCACCATACCTCCTACATCCGTCCCCTCCCTCCTTCTGATCTCCTTCCGTCTCCCTCATCTGCTGAAGACGAGGATGACGACGATCTAGCTCTCGCCTCGTTCTCTCCCTCTTGTTCCCATCCCTCATCTTCTTCCCCGTCCTCGCCATGAGTTTCCTCACGGAGCAAGCTCTTGGCAATCATCTGTTGCAGCCACGTGGCTATATCTCGGAGATCCGGCAAGTTCGTCATCCGAGGCCCAGTCCTGGTCTTCCACGACAGGCGCAGTTCTTCTGTACCGAGGGTGTGTGTGCCGCCGCTGCGTTCCGATTCGCCGGAAGTCCCCAAGCAGTGGTATTGGCAGAGGTGGTAGCATTTCATCGGCGGGCGGCTCTAGGAACGAGCCACGTCACCACGGTTGCTGCCTTCAGCGGCGATATCAGCGCGGTCAGCCCGCTCCGACATACTGCGATCCTGACCTCATTACGGGAGTGGACGCAGCAGTTATCGACTGAGTGGCATCACGGTCTTGCGCGCCCCGGGTGCAACCTCGTCCCAACGTATGGGACTGACTTCAACAAACTCCGCACCTCTACGCGCGAGCCGGCAGCGGTGCTCCCCACCCTCGTCCTCTTCCAACGCCCCCAATGAACCGCGCCGCTCCTTTCGCCCCTCTCTCCACCTTTGGTCTTCCCTCTCTCTTCCCCACCTTCTGGCAATCCGATCTTCATCCCCGCCTTTCCTTCTTGCTCGATCCTCTGCAGTCCCGCTCCTCGATCCCAGGCATTGGCGAGTGTGGCGCGAGACTTTTGTCGATCGGTCTGTGTGCTTGGCTCAAGTGGAGGTGACGTGGACGAGGACCGACGAGCATCAGGCGTGTATTGAGTACCTGGAGCTGCTGATCATCCAGGCTTGGAGAACTGACGTGGAGGGCCATCTTCTCGGCTTTCTTTTCGGATCGGTGCGGCCAGGCCATCGCCAGCTAATTGTCCAGGAACTCGTCGTCCCGCTCGCGCAACTGGTTGACGACCTCTCTCTCGATATTGTTTCGCAAAGTGACAAGAGTCCGGCTCTGCATGTCGTTACGCGAACCTTGGCGCCGTATCTTCAGTGGACTGCATGCTTGGAGGAACCAGGGAGTGAAAGCGTCCTGCCATCGCGGCAGGAGTACTTGAAGCCGTCGGGAATCATCAATCTCGCCTTCTATCCGAAGCAAGATACATCCGAGGAGGCAGGAGAAAAAGAAGCCACCGAAGAAGAGGACGACGCCGAAGAAGAAACGTCGGAGGAAGGGAGCTATAGCGAGCACAGCAAAGGGGAGCAAAGTGTAGAAGAGGAAGAAGAAGAAGAAGAAGACGACGAAGAGGAGGAAGCTGGATCGGAGTGGGTGGCTTTGCCGGAGGAAGCGGCGCGCACAAGCACAGAGGCGGAAGCTCCCGAGGCGGCACGAAAGAGAGAAGAGATCGTCGTCAGGAAAAGCCAGTTGGAGTTCGCCAGCGAGGTGAACCTGCGCATCAACGACGACCCGACCAGGGATCTGGAGCCCCCCAAGCCCGAAGATGGCGACCCAGCAACTGCGCCTCCGAGCACATCGCGACGGAGAAGATCCCCCTCCCCCTCCACCTCAGCCCGTCCCCCAGTTCGTCCATGTACCGATGCGGGGGATCGACCTTCGTCCCCGGTCATTATCCCGCCGTCCCCTTGATTACCTCACCCTCTGTGAGATCTCTACCCCCGTCACCTTCACTCGCAACCCCTTCTCCCCTAATACCTTCCGTCACTTTTACTCCACCCGCCTCGCCGTCACTGTCCATCCCCATCATTCCCTTCAATGCGTAAACCCCACGTTCTGTTTGCATGTCCTTTTGTTCAGTGCCGCGTGGGAGCAGAGCAATGTAGTAGAAGTCTACTGCGTTATCACAGGAACCATCCCCGCATGTCGCCATCACGAGTTGTTTCGCGCGGCACTCTTCCGCACTTTCTCCACCCTACCCTGACTACCTCACCTCCCTCCCTCAAAGCGACTATCGATTTCCCCGCTTTCATCGGATAATCCGCGATGAGGACCTTCCAATCACAGAGAAAGGGATGAACCGCTACCTACCCTCACTTCCCCCCAACCCTCCCCGTCGACACCCCTTCATGTGTGGCAGGTCACGACGACAGTCTATCCCACCCTCTTCTCGTCTATGACCGTTCTAAGCGTGACGATCGACTGGAGAAATCGCCACATATCCACCGAGCAACACGAATCAGCAGCTTCTCGAAGATCACGCCATTGACGATGACGTCAACTCATGCTCTAATTCGACGGATTGCGCTGAACTGGGGATGCAGAGCACGCGGAGACCTGATGGACCATGATGGTGCCACCTGGACGATCTCCGAAGTTTGAAGGGCAGGGGGTTGCATATGACAATACTGCAGAGGATGGGGATTCCAGACAGCATGAGCCAGCCTGCAGATCTTGCCACGGATGTTGTCGTCAACTCATGCCCCGACTCAATTTTTGTGCTTATCTAAGCCTCCTACTTCTCCCTGCT